TCAATTAGGTGTATTTTCTTGGGGTATTCTGCTATGTCAAAAGGTTATCGTTGTTATGATCCTATGGCCAAACATATGTATCATTCTCTTGATGTGACATTTTATGTAACTGTTCCCTTTTATAGTACTAATTCTGTGGTATAGGATTCTCTCTCTTGTGGTCTGGAGAAGGAGATTTCTCCTATTGCCCGTCCTGTTCCTTTCTTTGAAAATCACACTGTCTCGGAATCTCCTTCTCCATCCATGCAGGGTTAGGGTTCCCCTCAACCTTTGCAGGTCTACTCTCGTCGCCATCACACTCAACCTCCCCCTGCCAGAATCATCTTCAGAACCAGGTCCAGGTAACTCTCCTTCTCCTATGGCTCCTACCATTCCTGAGCATACCTCCCATTATCCTACCCGTGATCGTCAGCCTCCTAATTGGTATGGTTTCTGTAGTAGCACTAACCACCCTATTTCCCAGTATGTCTCCTATGATGGTCATTCAGGTGCATATAAATCCTTCCTGGGCAAGATTGGGATCGTTTCTATTCCTCGATCAGTGTCAGAGGCCCTCCAGGATCCCAATTGGGTGTCTGCCATGACAACAGAAATGAATGGTTTACAACATAATAATACATGGGAACTTGTTGCTTTACCTGCTGACATAATAATACATGGGAACTTGTTGCTTTACCTGCTGGGGAGAAAACGGTTGGCTGCAAAATGGGTCTTTAATGTGAAGTACTTAACCAATGGTTCTATTGATAGGTATAAGGCTCGGTTGGTGGCAAAAGGCTTTACTCAGATTCCGGGCAAAGACTTTGGCGCTACCTTTGCTCCTGTGGCAAAGTTGATGTCTGTGCGACTGCTAATCTCCTTGTCTACGGCCCATTCTTGGCCTCTGCATTAGTTAGATGTCAAGAATGCATTTCTTAATGGAGACTTACTTGAGACTATATATATGGATCCACCCCCTGGATTTCGGGCTGAGGGTGAGTATGCTGGGAAAGTCTGTCGACTGCGGAAGTCTCTTTATGGTCTAAAGCAATATCCTAGAGCTTGGTTTAGTCGTTTTAGCGATGTTGTTCTATCCATGGGCTTTATGCGCTGCCACTCAGACCATATTTGCTTTATTCGACGTCGCTATGATGGTCGCTGCATTATGTTATTGGTATATGTGGATGATATCATTATCACAGGTGATGATGCTCCAGGGATTGCTCAGGCGAAACTTCATCTTCAAAAGTCCTTTGATGTGAAGGACTTAGGTCTTCTTCGATATTTTCTTGGAATTGAGATTGCTAGATCCCGTCATGGAATTTCTTTATCTCAAAGGAAATATGTTTTGGGTCTTTTTCAAGATACTGGCATGCTTAGGTGTCGACCCGCTTCCACTCCCATGGACTCCAATCTCAAACTCTTTGTTGAGTCAGGGGAATTACTTCCAGATCCATCCTTGTATCAACGTTTAGTAGGCCGTCTTATCTACTTGACTAACACAAGGCCCGATTTGACATTTGCTGTTAGTGTGGTTAGTCAAATCATGCATGCCCTTCGCTCAGCTCATATGGATGCAGTCTACCATATTTTGAAGTATCTTAAGTCATGCCCTGGTCTTGGTCTGTTCTATGCCTCAGGAAATCAGTCTGGACTCTCATGCTTTACTGATGCAGACTATGCTGGATGTAAGACAGAAAGACGTTCTACCTCTGACTTCTGTACTTTCTATGGTAATCATCTCATATCATGGAAGAGTAAGAAGCAAGCTGTTGTCTCCAAATCCTCTGCTGAAGCTAAATATCGAGCTATGGCTCAAGGTACTTGTGAGCTCCTTTGACTTCAATCAATTTTGGGAGAGTTGGGTCTTGTAGAAAAAGGTTCTTCAAGGCTGTTTTGTGACAATAAATCAGCCATTATGCTTGCTTCCGATTCTGTTTTACATGAAAGGTCGAAACATATTGAGGTAGATATTCACTTTATTCGAGAGAAGGTTCGATCAGGTATCATTAATCCTATTTTTGTTCCCTCTTCAGAACAGACTGCAGATGTGTTCACAAAATTTGTTGGGCCTTCTCTTCTCTAGTCTTCCATAGTCAAGCTGGGCTTGGTCAACATATTTGCTTCAGCTTAAGGGGGAGTGTTGGAAATCATATCTATAAGTTGACTCAATGATTATGACAGATTTATTGGATCTTCATTATAGGCTAATGTTTAGGGATTTTATTTTTATTCTGATTTGATTTGATTTTCTTTATTCTGATTTGATTTTATTCTCTTTTCCATATTTGTAATTTTCCTCTTGTATATAATGATAGTCAGGCTCTCAAATTGAGTACGCCAATTTTACCAAGTTACTTTTATTGTCAAAGCCTCAAAGGTTGCCCCCAATGAAGGGAATTCCAGGCTCCACCACTGCTCTCTTCCCTTGCAGAAAATGTAACCATGTAATCTGGATACAATCAACTTGGTAATGAAGTGGCAGCACTGGAAAACATGTTCAGCTTCATACTTCTTGTTCATTGCTACTCTTTGGTCAAAGACCAAGTTGGGTTGTTTTTAGTGAAATCCTATCAATACCGAATCAATTTTTGGTCTGCTTTTGACTTTTTGAATCTCTGTCTACCCTTTGCCCTCCTCCTCCATTTGATTTCTCATTGATGGAGAGGCGGAAGCTGCAAGTGAAAATTTTGACTGTTTTGGCAGTAGTGTGGGGCTCAGCTCATTACTTCGCTGTGCCTTCGACGCTTCTAGAAGGTACGCAACTTCTACGTGCAGGAACTGCTGGATTTGTACAATATGTAGAGAAGTTCACTTGGAAGTTAATAAGTTTTCTTTTTCCCAAAAAGATAACTACAAAAGTAGTAGGACCCTTCACTTTCTATAGCAGTACACTGACAAATCCTCTCATTTGTTATAATGCCTACAAATCTGTAGATCCCTTTGTCCTGAAAGATTTATGGGTGGAGGTTGGGGTATTCACATTCTCACCATATTACTCACGATTACAAAACCTAACTGAAAATCAATAGTGGTATTGTTGTCAACAATAGTCTGAGGCCCTCATTTATTTCTATGCTATGTTAAATACTAGAATATCTTGCCTAAAAAATGTTTTAGATGCAGCGGCAACGCTTCACTTCCTTCTCTAATGAGGTGTAGTGGTCTCGGCCTCAACTTTTAAGGAGAGCTTTCCAGGATTAGGAATTGCGTTAATAAAGGAACTGTCGAAGAGGCTTCTGGGACAAGGCCTCAAGAAGGAAGGATGAGCTTCATTAGATGGATGGCTTGTAAAGTTGGGGCTTTGGGTGTTAGATAGATCTTTACCAAACGTGGTTTGGTTGGCGGGAATTTCCTTCGAGGTGGATTTAATGCATGACTACCCCTCCAGAAACGGCTTCTTGTTTAATCAGCTATTCTGAAGGTCAATAATCTCAAATGTAAAAGATATACTCCCTCCGTCCCAAAATAATTGTCCATCTTTCTATTTTGGGATGTCCCAAAAAGACATGTCCCATTCCAAAATTGAATGTACTATTTTTTATAACATTTCCAAACTATCCTTTTAACTAAACAACTGCACTAATTACGGAGTACTATTTTGTCTTTTAGTAAGGGCAATTTGAAACTTCACTCTTATCAATACAATAAAAAACTATTAAAACTCCACTACCATAAAATGTTGGATTCCCCACGCAGGACGTCTATATTGGGACAGAGGGAGTAAATGTTAACTGGTGCTGCATGTGCAGAATAGACGAAGAGTCGGTAAACACCTCCTTTCTTCATGTTGGTGTTTCTAGGGTGTTGTGGGAGCTCCTCTTCTCAATTTTTTTTTGGCGGTATGGGTTTTGTTTTGCCTCATTGCCTGGTATGGTAGTGGATTTGTTAAAGAGTTGGAAGGTAACTTAGTACGAGGGCTAGGAAGACGTGGGATATGATGCCCCATTATCTTATGTGGTGTATTTGGGAAAACAGTCATAGGAAATTTTAAAGGATCTCAGTTCCCAGTCCAAATGATGAATCAAAGTTATTGAGAACCATATTTTTATGGATCCTAAGGTCTTAGCCTGCATAGATTTGATTCTTTTGTTGAGTTTTTGGGTGACGTAAAAATAAAATAAGAATAATCTAGTATAGTTTGTAAACTTGTGTGTGCATGAATTTGTCCCTTTTTGTGATGCCTAAACTAGATTTTACTTATCCAGAGAGAGAAAAATTCCACTTGTCTATCGTGCAATAACCTAGAGACTGTCATCTAATTAGACACTACTCTATAACTGCAGTATGCCCATTCAAAATTTAGAAGATAACAAGTTGAAATTTTATATATTTACCGACTTAAAGGTGCAAGGGACAGAAAGGCATCCATCTTCCAGAAGGAGTACAAGGATCAAAAGCATGATGAAGATAATCAACAAGTTTGCACTCAGCATGAGTTTCCAATTTCCTGTTTGCTTGAAATGACAGATGATAGATTGTATGGGTGCTCTTGGAAGTTGATAGGATAGCATTTCAAAGGGAATGGAACAAAACTAGTGACAAGTTGGAGTTGCCAAGCCCTCCTGGTGTTGGCTCTAATATGAGGCAGCTTCCCTCTAACAGGGGAGAGTCTGACAAAATCTAATCTTCCTTTCCAGAATTTATAAATTCCAGTGATATACCATGTGTTTCTTTTGAAGAAAGTTAATTCACTTAGAACAATTATTAGAATACTTCATCCAAGGTGGGCAAGTCATTATTGTCCTTGTATGAGAAGTTTCATATTACATAGTAATTCTATTGATTACAATGGGAAGATCCATTCTCATTCCAAGAACGTGTCGGTAAGGAAGGATTTTTAATGAGTTCTTCGCACTCGTTGGAGAAGGTTGAAGGTGTCCTGTAGCCTATAGGATGATGTTTGATATGGGGCACTATGTAGTTTGGAAACTCAACCATGCAATCAAGGCACAAATTTGACACTCCATGAGAACAATTAATTCAATTTTCAAATCTATCAACAAAACAGTAACTTGAACCTGTTCTCATCAGAGTCGGGAAGTATCGATCGGAATTTGCCAGGCACGGTCAGTGCAGCCCACATGCATAAAACCAACCCTGAAGTCAACTCAAGAACCACCTGCACAACCAAAACCCTAGATCGATAAACATCACAAACCCATAGACTTAAAAAATTCATACATACTAGTAAAAAAATGTGCGCGTATGTACTGAGAAATTACATTCATTGTTGGTCCGGAGAACTCCTCCTCCGTGATCTTGAGCAAGGATCTATCTGCAATAAAAAATATCATAATGAAAAGAATCGATTGAGACCACATATAAGCCCTAATTTCTGAAAGAGAGATTACACTGGATGGTAGAGTAGGCCGCGTGTAAGAGGACCAAGACTCCAAGAACACCGACGACGTAGCCCAACCCCATTTTTCGAAGCGATCACTAGCCGGCGATATCTCCTATAATCGAATTACAGATGGCGGAGAAGGGTATGAGTGGTGAGGGTTGGTAGCTACCAAACGGGTTATAAGCCGGTGTTAAACGGATAAACAACCAATAATATTCAATTTTCCTAGTCTAATGAGTAATGACATTATGATTAGCAATTTTTGGTTTCTTATTTTTTAACAAACAGAATAAGTATTGCCTTACTCTTTTCTCTTCCATCAAACCAAATATAAAGATAAAATGATATAATCTCTACTTAAATGTTTTTTATTTCCTTCTATCCAATTTTTTTAGTGTAACATTATTTTACGAGTATAAGTTTAGACCATTTTATTTTATTTATTTATTATTTTACAAATAACACTGATAATGCTATTTGGAATAATTCAAATGGTATTCATTTAGTTTGATAATGAATTATGTAATTTATTCAATGTTTTGGCGACTTATGTGAGTGGATGTGTATAAATTAGTGAGTGAGTTATAGATGCAAAATTTCACCTACGATATAAAAACGGAAATTAAAATTCGAGAACAAAAAACTCGTATCATACTATGTGGCGTGGCCAAACAATATCATACCGTGAGATAATGATAATGTTTTGATAATCAATAAACATTACATTTATTTTTCCCGGATCTAATTTTTTAAGGAAATTTATCTCTCTTTGTATCTATGTTTTCTTAAAGGGTTTGTTTGATTAGATTAAAATTAGTAGTGCAAATAAAAAGTAAAAAAAAAAAATCAAAATGAATGAAACGAAAATAAAATTTACAATATGCTTTAACTAATAATTTTATTTTTTAAAATAAGAAATTTAAAGAAAGATTATCATTTCATGTTTTGAAATGGACTATTATAATAGATATATATTATTCTTTCACAAAATTTTCTCACAGGTTTGAAAATTTTAAATTATTTTTTAAAGAAATTTTGATAGAAAGTTGGTTATAAAATTGTAAAGTGTTTAAAAGTTATCCATCTCTTTTTCTTTGTTGTGATTTTCATCTAAAAATGATACTTAGGTCCTTACTAACGAGGATTTACACCATCCTCACTAATAATGTGGACCAATAATAAATCACCGTGATTTGATTGTGATTTGATAAATGTGTATTTACCTATCATAATAAATTACCATTTATGTGATGACATGTCTATTTATTATTGACCCACATCACTGGTGAAGATGATGTAAATCCTTATTATTGAGGTACTGCTCTTTATCTAACCAAGTGGATTGTAAGTTTTTACTCTTATTAAATAATTATTGTTTTTTATTATTATTAAACATCAAACGTTGTTTTGGACGTTTTTAATCAAGTAATGTTGTTAATCCAAATGTTTAATTTTTATTGGATTGAAATTATTATTTGATATGTTTATTTTTGAAAAACACTGAGCGATGTAACTTATTAAATTAATTTAATTATTGTTTCTTAAAAGACTAAAATTTTAAGAGGCGCTGGCATGACAAAATATTGTAAACAATAATAAAACTTAAATTAATGATCTCTTCCTTTTTTTTTCACTTTAATTAATGATCTCATCAGAAAATAAAAAATAAAATAAAATAAGAAATTGGAAAAAAAGCTATCAATAATAAAATCCAAATAAAAGAAGATATTGGAAAAAAGTAGAAAGCATTTCGTTCCCAACAAGAAATCTCGTACAAATACCCCCTTCCCTCAATCTTGAGATCTCCCACACCGTTACTCTTCCTATATTCTCCAAAAAGACCACCTCTCTCTACAAAACCCTCTCTCTTTCCTCTCCTCCGTGGTTATCGGCGACATGACTGATCAAGCTGAATCCTCCGACTCGTAAGCCCACTTTTCTTAGATTACACTTATGCTCACAAACGCACATATTTAATTATATATACACACAAACACTTGAAGTATTGAATTGTGTTTGTATGCGTTTCGATTTTTGGTTTTGGTATCTGATGGTAGTTTTGATTCACAGCAAGGGAACGAAGAGGGACTTCAGTACTGCGATTCTTGAGCGCAAGAAGGCGGCAAATCGGCTTGTTGTTGATGAGGCCATCAACGATGACAACTCTGTCGTTGCGTTGCATCCGGATACAATGGAGAAGCTTCAGCTTTTTCGCGGTGACACCATCTTAATCAAGGTTTGATTTCTATGTCTTATTGTATCAATACTCTTCTGCTAACTTTGATATGTTATAATTTAGGGTTTATTTTAGTTTGAGCTTTGATATGTTATAATTTAGGGTTTATTTTAGTTTGAGCTTATAGTGTTTATTTGTTGGGTTTATTGAAAATAGGGTTGTTGCTTTTGTGGAATTCTTATTTGGGGATTAGGATCTGTGGATTGGTTGCTTGTGCGGTTCTGAAAATTTGGATATTTTAGAAAAACTAAATCGTAGTGCCTTTGTTTTATGAATGCACGATGGTGAACTGTTGGGTTTGATATGCTGTCTATGTGTATACGATAGATACATTATATGCATAATGTAGCGCAGATGCACACAAAACAGTAGAGATTAGAGATTGGATTGTATTGCCAACTCAGATTAGCTGGCTACCAGGCTTTGCTGAGTTGAGTGTGCCAAAGTAGTTGGGCTCTATGGCTTTTCTTAGTTGAGTTGAGTGTCCCTCACCCTCTCTCAGTGCATGCGTCTGCTTAATTGAGTTAGGTCTTCTTCGTGCATGCACCCGTGCATGGCCAAACATGCACAGATCTACTGAGATATTGACAACTTTCAAAGTAATAGTTCAACATGGATGTCGACATGAGGGAGCAGGAGTCACAACTCACAACTAATTATGCAGGCTCACACATGCATGCTATGTTAGCAATTGTCTCTTCTGATTTTGATTTATTGTTTTGCTTGTGACATTTTCAATTGTTAGTTCTAATTTGTATTTGTCAATTTGCAATTGAGGCTACAATTGGTTGTGTGATGAAAAGGATCTAGGTTCCTCTTGGGACTTAAAGAATTGTGAAACTCTGTGTATTCAAATTATCAATTCCATTGCTAATAATTGATTGGACAAGTGAATTTTATCAACCAAGGGCCGCAGGTCCCCAAGTGGGCGTGTGAGTTTCAAATAGCAAAAAATGAATTTTATTGTCACTTTTGTATATGATGACTGAATATTGGGTAGTTTATGTTTGAGTTTATGATTTTTTCTTGATTCTTGTGGTCTGAAGCTGTAATGGGATAATGGACTCCATATTTTCGCCTTTGATGTTCAGGGAAAGAAAAGAAAAGATACAATCTGCATTGCCCTTGCTGATGACACTTGTGATGAACCAAAGATTAGGATGAACAAAGTTGTCAGATCAAACCTGAGGGTTAGGCTTGGAGATGTGGTTTCTGTGCATCAGTGTGCTGATGTCAAATATGGGAAGCGTGTGCACATTCTCCCTGTGGATGACACTATTGAAGGGGTCACTGGGAATCTGTTTGACGCATACTTGAAGCGTAAGTTTGTTGATATATAAAACCTCTTTTCTATTTAATACTGCATGGAAATAATTTTTTTTGATCAATTTTTATGTTATTTTTCTGTTATTTATTCCATCGCATCACGAGACTTTCTATATGTCTAATTTGAAAATATGAAGCGACTGATATTTCTCTAATTTGACCATTGGTGAAGCTGTGGATGTTTTTTACCAAAGCCATTGGCCTCGCCTTACAGGCCTGCCATTCTTTTCTCTTGCAAATCAATTAGTAACCCAATATTCAGTCTTTGGCAATATTGTGGATGTCATAAACAGTACCACTAGCAGTGGTGGTTGTTGTTTTGTTATTATTATTGGGATACTACTGTACACTTGGCAACCTTTGGGAATATGTCCATGTATCACTTGCTAGTTTAATATATGTTTCCAAAAGTAGACTGGCAATTGGATGGTCTAGATACTGTTGGATAATACGTATTCATTTTCTTAAAAATCTTAGTGACTAGGGATAAGTGACTGTTTTTATTGTAACATCTCATCATTTAGCACTAAGTTGTACCTCGATTCAAACACGATGTGCCAGCGTTGGAGGCATGTACAGTGGAGCTATTCCAAACATTAAACTCAGTAGAATATTTTGTCGATTGGGCCAAAATTAACCCGAGCAAAGTCAACAGTATCTTGAGGTTGATTTGTAACAAACTTAGGTAGGTACTGGTAAATGATATATCCATTTTATATCCCAGATATCGAACTTTAATGTCAATTCAAGAGTGATATTTAAGGAATAATCTGGTCCTTCAATTAGCAGACTTCTTATTTTTCCTTGCGACTGTGAATGTGCACACCACAATGGCTATAACTGTCCACTGAAATCTGTGATAAATGATGATAATTCTGATAAAAGATGCACACTGTTTGATTTGTCTTACAACAAACATCTAGTTTGAGAGCTGAACAAATATAGCACATAGCAAGACAACAAGAATGATTTGTTGTTAACTGCTAATTTAAGTAGTAAGATGAAAATATTATTCTAGGTCATTATGTTTATGACTTCGACCTAATCCTCAATTCTGGAAATAGCATTCTACAGATTTCAATGTCAAATCAAATACATTATTTAACTTAGCAGCTAGATATTGTCCTTGTTGAAGCAATTTACTACCTTTCCAAAATATAATACTCTATTTTTAGTTTTAGTTGATTGTTGATGATTCAAGTAGTGATTCCCTTCTACGACTCTCCATGAAAATGCTACCATCAGCTGCTTTATTATCTGATTCGTTTTACATTCAATGGAAAACCAACATTTTGGAACTTATGTGGTTAATTGAGACTAGGTTTGACTTAAAAGGTGATGGACTTTGTTGAAAAACAAAAGAGTGAAGAGAGAAATTGAGCATGAACAACACAAGAATATAATGTGGGTCAGTCACTACGGTCTACATCCAAAGCACACAAAGCCCAAAGGGAATAATGGATTTTTCTCTTTCATTATATTCTATTTTACTTTCTTTTTTACAATGACCACTTCTATTTATAGGTTAAAGAATACAAACATGTGATAAATATGAAAAATGTATAGCTGTAAAGATTCCTAAAATCAATCCCATAAATCACTCCAATCAATATTCTTTTAAAGCCTTAAATCACTCCTATAATTATATTCTCTAAATGTCTTAATCTGCCAGAGAAGGTGTTCTAGAAGACCCACCAGGTAACCACAATTGTTATACATATATCTCTTTATTTTACTTCTTGTATGCCTGTGATAGTTACTGACAAGCATTTCTTTTATCTGCATTATCAATCTCCGATGGTCTGGTATATTTATAAATTTTGTAAATATAAGGATCTCGTTGCTCTTCTAGCATTTGATGACATAGTGTCACTCTAAATTATCTTTCTCACAAAAAAGATTTGGCCTTCTTGATTCTCTTTTATTAGAATAATTTTCCCTTTTTTTAGAATGGGAAAACAGAAATACAATTTGAAAATTCATTGGTCTTCTAGTTTTCTGAAAACTGTTCATACTGAGGCTGCCTTTTCAATATGCAGCTTATTTCCTTGAGGCGTACCGCCCTGTGAGGAAAGGTGACCTCTTTCTCGTGAGAGGGGGAATGAGAAGCGTGGAATTTAAGGTTATTGAGACAGATCCTCCAGAGTACTGCGTGGTTGCCCCTGATACTGAGATCTTCTGCGAGGGAGAGCCTGTGAGAAGGGAGGATGAAGATAGGTTGGATGAGGTTGGTTATGATGATGTTGGTGGTGTTCGTAAACAGATGGCACAGATCAGGGAGTTGGTGGAGCTGCCACTTAGGCATCCACAACTCTTCAAATCAATCGGTGTGAAGCCACCAAAAGGGATTCTGCTCTATGGGCCTCCTGGATCTGGAAAAACTCTAATAGCTCGAGCTGTTGCAAATGAAACTGGTGCTTTCTTCTTCTGTATTAATGGACCAGAGATTATGTCAAAATTGGCTGGAGAGAGTGAAAGCAATCTCAGGAAAGCTTTTGAGGAAGCAGAGAAGAATGCTCCATCCATCATCTTCATTGATGAGCTTGATTCTATTGCTCCCAAGCGAGAGAAGACACATGGTGAAGTTGAAAGGAGGATTGTTTCCCAGCTCTTGACACTTATGGATGGACTTAAATCCCGTGCTCACGTTATTGTTATTGGTGCTACTAATCGTCCCAACAGTATTGACCCTGCCCTCAGAAGGTTTGGGAGATTTGATAGGGAAATAGACATTGGTGTTCCAGATGAAGTTGGGCGTCTTGAGGTTCTCCGTATCCATACAAAGAACATGAAGCTATCTGAAGATGTAATACCAAACAACTTAATTTTCTAATTTTGAGTTCATATTCTCTTTCACATTTTATAAAAGGATCTGGTGTAATGTATCTGAACTACTTGTTTTAACTGTGCAGGTTGATTTAGAAAGGATTTCCAAGGACACACATGGTTATGTTGGTGCTGATTTAGCAGCTTTGTGCACTGAGGCTGCACTTCAATGCATCAGAGAGAAGATGGATGTGATTGACTTGGAAGATGAGTCCATAGATGCTGAGATACTAAACTCCATGGCTGTTACAAATGAGCACTTCCATACTGCTCTTGGAACAAGCAATCCATCTGCTCTTCGTGAAACGGTAAGTAGAATTTTTATCCTTTTGGCCCAGAGTCACTTTGCCTTTTAAATACTATTTTTATTTACTGGGTGCTAATTATGAATCTTTTGGTGAGCCAGGTTGTTGAAGTGCCGAATGTGAGTTGGCAGGATATTGGAGGCCTCGAGAATGTCAAGCGGGAGCTTCAAGAGGTAATAGCAAATGCTTCAATTTGCCATATATACACAACTTTTCTTTCTTTTCCTAAAACATTTGGTTAGTTATCCTTTTTTCAACTTAATTTGGTCACTGCAATTATTCCATGCAGACTGTTCAATACCCTGTGGAGCATCCTGAGAAATTTGAGAAGTTTGGCATGTCACCCTCAAAGGGAGTTCTTTTCTATGGTCCACCTGGATGTGGTAAAACTCTACTTGCCAAGGCTATTGCCAATGAATGTCAGGCGAACTTCATCAGTGTCAAGGGTCCTGAATTGCTTACCATGTGGTTTGGGGAGAGTGAGGCCAATGTTCGAGAAATATTTGACAAGGCTCGTCAATCTGCTCCTTGCGTCCTATTCTTTGATGAGCTCGACTCAATTGCTACTCAGGTTTGTTTTATTGTTTTCAATTGGTAATTGTAGTCCCCTCCCAGCTTACACTGCCTTCCGCAGTTCCCCCCCTAATTACTTGGGCTGCTTTTGCTATTTCTTGCAGAGGGGAAGTAGCGTTGGAGATGCTGGTGGTGCTGCTGATAGGGTTTTGAATCAACTCCTCACTGAAATGGATGGAATGTCTGCCAAGAAAACTGTTTTCATTATTGGGGCCACCAACAGGCCTGATATCATTGATCCTGCCCTCTTGCGGCCCGGCCGTCTTGATCAGTTGATTTATATCCCTCTGCCTGATGAGGATTCTCGTCATCAGATTTTCAAAGCCTGCCTGAGGAAATCTCCTGTTTCCAAAGATGTAGACCTGAGAGCGCTTGCAAAGTACACTCAAGGTTTCAGCGGTGCCGATATTACAGAAATATGCCAACGGGCATGCAAATATGCCATCAGAGAGAACATTGAGAAAGTAAGTTACTTTATCTTTTCTAGTAGTTGGAGATGACAATCTTTCTAATCCTGCTCTTCATCTTAATGTTGTTTATTTAACATATTATGTGTACAAGTAGGCATATAGCTCAAACAATGGTGTTGTAGTAGTTGTACCATGTCAGGAAAGTCATGTGAAGTCTGTATTATTATAGTGAAAGAGAACTGTTCAATTTTCTGACATGCACGGCTCCACTGTTTCTCTGTAATAATACACTCACAATATGGACATTTTTTGCATTTTAGTTTCTGACATTTGATCATATTCTCAATGTCATGGGTGCTTTTGGATGAGTGGGTGTGCTCTTCCTTGTGCCAATGTAGTCTAATTAGATTCAAAAGACTATTTTAGCTTTAAGTTTGTAATGTAAAAATTGTAAAAAAAGGAAAATTGTTTTAGCATTTATCTTGTTAGTTGTGGCGTCACCAACTTGTGTTACACCTATGAATGTTGTACTATATTTAATAAACTCTGGGACATTCTATGAAAATTGGTTACTACTTATTTGTTTTCGTCTTGGTCTTTTAACATACAGAATGGTAGTATGCAATGGAAATGTCATCCCACTATTTACCAAGAAAATAAATAAATAAATGAGGAAATCTTATCCCGGTCAATAAGGTCCTTTGTTAGATACTGGAAAGCCCTTACAATAAGCAAATCTTTTTAAAAGCAATTCTACAAGAAAGCCCTTTAAAGACATTTCGACCTATATGAAACTTGATGGACTTGTGCAAATTCTTCTGACATTGTTATACTTGGTATATTGTGCGAATACTAGAATATTAAGATTCAATGTTCTTGTTTCTGTATCAGGATATTGAGAGGGAGAGGAGGAGAGGTGAGAATCCTGAGGCCATGGAGGAGGATGTCGAAGATGAGGTGGCAGAGATCAAGGCTGCTCATTTTGAGGAATCAATGAAGTATGCTCGAAGAAGTGTAAGTGATGCTGACATTCGCAAGTACCAGGCATTTGCCCAAACATTGCAGCAGTCTAGAGGGTTTGGCACTGAATTCCGATTCTCTGAGACCAGTACGGGAGCTGCTGGATCTGACCCTTTTGCAGCTTCTGCTGGTGGAGCTGATGAAGATGACCTGTATAGTTGATCTTGATGAGTGTTTTCATCCTCTTTTACACCGACATTGCTTTAGTATTTCAGTATTTATATGTAATCGTTGCTACTACCTGTATCATCGGGCGAAAGCTTTTGTGAGATATTTATGAAGTCTAAAACTTTGGTTGTAGGCCTGTGGATAACTCCTGGTTTAAGCTTTTGTTGTAATGGATGTGTGGGAACTTCATAGGATTGAAGTTCTTGTGTTCTCTTAGTTATCAATAACAGCATGTCTTTGAATGTCTTGATGCCTATACAGGCTGTGTTATTCTCTCTAAACTGTTAGGCTTGTGTGGTTTTTGTCCTAGTTTATATTATTAGAACAGTTTCGTGACTTATTCTTGAAAATTATTGAAGTTAATTTGTGTATTGAGAAAATATTAGGAAAATGTAATGGTCATTTCCATTTGGGTTGCTTTCTAATGCCTTGTACATTTTCAACCTTATGAATGCAAGATTTGATACTCTGATTAGGTTATAGTCATGACGGTCAATACCTTAAATCCTTAAGGATATGTGCCTTCTACGTCTTTAAATGAATTTGCCAATTTAAACCCTCAAAACCAAAGTAGCATGTATGTGTGTGTGTATATATATGTATATATATATATTCTTTAGCTCACTTTTTGTAATTAACTTTCTGGGAAAATAATTTCAGATAGCTCATACTGCGATAACCTGTCTTTAAATACATGCACGTATATATATGTATACCTATATTATATATGTGTGTGTGTATATATATATATACACACACACACGTGTATATAACCGAGAATGGGACATGTGGTGGAGGAATGGGACCATCACTAGGAAAGGGCACCTAATAATGGGCGATTGGAAAATAAAATGCAAGCCCCTCTTTAAACCCCATCGAAAAATGATCAAAATGCTATGCATCTGCTTGCTTAAATGATGAAATGGGTTTTTTTTTTCCCTATGTTTGTGTTTTCATGGCCGACTAATGACTAACTTCTGATTGGAACTGGACAGAAATGTCTGATTTGAATTGATGTTACATGTAATTTGGCTAATATATTTGAAATATTTCAAAGCAAATAGATTTAGAAGTATTTGCATCACCAAAGGTTGATGACATGACAAATGTATGATAAACGGAGTGGTGATAAGAGAGTATTAAAAAGGACAACCTTTGATTTGACACCAGAGATGACAAAATCAAGATTGTCATTTACTTGGTTATTGGGTTAGCCCAAACCACTAATATTTTCGTTAGAGTTTGGGCCTAGGGTTAGGGTTTTAAAATGCAGGAGAAAGTGAGTCATGTCCCTGAAAGTAAGGCAGACCATAGAATGGTGGGAAGGGAGGGTGACTGCTAAGACATGTTTGCTGCTACTGTTGGGGAGGTATTGATTAGACTAAAGCACTTTATACGAACAACTCCACATGAAAATTTCGAGATTAATGTCTCCTTTGCTACTTTATTATTATTTTCAATCCAACTAGTGAGACCCACACCCCCTAAAAAAATAATAAAAAATAGATGAATAATTGAGCTACTAGTCACGACTCTATAAATGTCACTATTTTTATTCATCTATTTTTTTATTTATTATTTTATAATACAATGTCTCCTTCGCTACTTTATTATTATTTTAAATGTCACTGTCTTTATATTTTTGTTTCAACTTATGTTTATCATATAATTACCCAATTAAATTAGATTCATGTACATAAATGAGGGCGTGCCTTGAAGTAACGGTAATGTTATTTTTTTATGAGTTTATTTTCAAGTATAAGAACTAAGACTGCGTTTGGTGTATAGGAATGGAATGAAACGTAATTTGAAATGGAATGAGAATAAGAATGAAATGGAATGAGTATTATCATTTCAATGTTTGGTATGACACGGTGAATCGTTATGAAATGAAATGATTATTACCATTCTATTTTTTGGTTGACTATCATTAAATTTGGAATGGAATGATTTTTCTTAAAAATACCATTTTCATTGGCTTACATTACTTTTTAACTCTGACAATGAATTATTGAATATTATAAGATGCCCAGTATTGTCATTCAAAAAAATAAAGAAAAATCTTAAAATAAAATAGAATATTATTTTTAATGAGATATTAATCTTAATAAATGACGGCAAAAGGAAAAATATCTAAATGTCTAAATATTATTTTTAATGAGATATTAATCTTAAAAAATCAACCACTAAAGCACTGAAGTTGTAGGCCAATAGGTATTTTGCTAGATTTTCCATTCAATTTTTTTTTAAATTCTAGTTTTGATCAAATTCGAAAGTAAGGTTCTCCAATCATCTAACGATGAACTTGGCAAGGGTCAAAAAGTCAAATAAGTCCACTTTTGGTTCGAGATGATTATTAATTTTTATTTTATGTGATTATTAATTTTTATTTTATATAAACATTGCTTCATACGAAAATATTAGAAGAGAGAAAGATGGAGAAATTACACAAATGTTTCAACACAAAGATACAAAAAAATAAATAAATAAAAATAAAAATAAAAAAGTGATATACTCAGAAGATAAAGAGATTAATACATACTTAAAAAAAAAAAAAAAAATAGATTAGTACTTGCAATTTAGTTGAAGGTTCTACAACTTTTTATCAATGACAGTTCTGAGTATATTCAGAAGAGAGGGAAGGTGAAAGAGTACACCTTTACCACGTCTAATAAAGAATCTTGACAAATGTGAAAAATAGAATGGGAAAGATTTTGCCTTATTGGAATGTGATGAAGGGTTTGTTGGGAATATTACAAAAAACTTTAATCTTACTATGGAATGGAATGGTCATTTCATAGGTTTAGTAATGGAATGAATTCTCATTCCTTGGAATAGATTTTCATTCCGAATGACCATTCCATTCCATTCCTGAACACCAAATAAATAAATGGTTGGAATGAACATTCCATTTCATTCCATTCCTACACACCAAACATAGCATTAAGGTTACATATATCAAATAAATATGTCTTGATAATTTAGTGAGAATGGAATTCAATACGAACACATCTGTTCCTCTAGTGGAAAGGGAATTCAATATGAACACACCTATTCTGAAAATTAACGCTCTATTAATTAAATCACCAAATAATACCTAAATTCTTATATTTATATTATTGAAGAAAATTTATGAGTGAAGCAAAGGGACAGTTAAATTAATTTAGATAAGAGACGAGGAGACATGCTTAGTTGGCAATCGTATGTTGCATTAAGATACCGTATTGTGGGGGTAACAAACACATCAAATCAAATAATATGCTTTACAATAATAGTAAAATTGGGGAGAAGCACAACCTATCATGCACGTAATATCAATCATTTCTATGGGCATACTTTGTACCCCACCCCATTACTACACTAGCTGCTCTTTTTCCTCCCATTTTATGCGTAGGTAGACTATGGTGTGGGTCACTTCTTCACGATTGTATCATTTAGCCTTGGGCCCACACCTAACTCAACTTGTATCCTTTAAAATCCGGCTCCAATTGTCATCTTCACCGTCCAATTAATTCTAACCATATATATATATCAACGGTTGATTAATCGACAACTAAATCTTTTTCGAGATGTACTGTTATCTAAATTCAACCCGTCACACATCACATAAATTCAACTCTAAATTATAAGGTGGTGGTTTTGAATATGAAGATTGTATTTTGTTAGTCCAATAATTTTTTTTATTAGATCAAGACTTGATCTTTGTAATTTTCCGTGCATTAAAACTTTAAAATAGAGATGTCTCATACATCAATGAATCAAAGAGTGATGTTTTGATTGTCAAATTGTGTGATTTGCCCGTCTAATCTTCTAGATGAGCTGGATTGATTTTATAAAAAATGATTTGTGAGAGGTGGTTGAAACCAAAATTCTACATCAAACACTTTAGGATTAGACACTGTCACATTAGAATGATTTGAAAATTCTACGCTGTCATATTAAAATAGTACTGATCAACGGTTCTGATGCGTCGTGAACAAGGCAGATGGATGGTTATAGAAGCCGATTTCTTCTGCCATTTTACACATATATACACATACATGCGTGTGCATATGTGTATATATAAAAGATGGGATAACTGACAAGTGATTGGGGGAAAAGATGAACTAAAAATATGGATGAAAGAGTCGTATGGTTGCTTCCGTCCTTGCCCTTCTTTTTTTAACAGTTTAACGTAGTATCACTTCACACGTGCGTGCATTCCGACGTGTAGGGTTGTGAAAGGCTGGCAATCAACAACGTTAAGACATCTGATCTACGGCCCCTATATATTTCAACGTTGTCAGAATGCACGTGTTTTCTTTTTAACTTCGGGTCCCACCACATGCCCAATTGTTTACTTCACTATTGACAGCCGCTACATTGACTTCCAAACCCAAAATTAAAATTAAAAAAAGGTGTTACAGTATTTAATTGTACCTTGTCCTTATCAAAAATCAATATTGTTTGAAAATTTATTAAAGAATTTTATCAACACGTTACTCCAATAACTTGAGTAATTCCAATAGTAATATCTTTCATTTCCATATATATTCGAAGACGACCAGAAACTCAAGATAATACGAATTTTAAAAATAATTTTATGGGAGGTAAATATAATACTTTGTAAGCATACTTTGGCTTTAGGAGATTTAGGTGGTGTTTGATAAAATTGAAAATTGTTAGTTTTGAATTATAAGCGCATAATATATTAATCTAAAAATTTGTTTAATATTGTCTTATTTTTAAGCGTTAAATTCATAAAGATTATTTATTAAATGTAAGAGCTGAAATCTGAATGATATATATATTACATTTTTTGCCCTCAATTATCTTCTACATATAATAATATCGTTATACAAGATACTAGATATATATATATAATATAATATAAACACATATATAAAATTATGTATTTCACCAAAAAGTAATATATCAATTTGATAATGGTTATTAATGTCAGATGATAAAAATTCCAAAAGCAAAACATAAAACGAGTGTAAAGATGATACGTAGAAAAATAATTCTATTCATCAAATAGTCATGCTACCTTAATGGAATCTAATATTAATTCAATTTTCACTAAACTATTTTAATTCGATCAGCTTATTATCACGTTTGTTTCTATAAAAGATTACCAAAACCTAAAACGCTTTTCGTCCAACTATTACATGTAAAATCTTTTCATGTAATGCAAATCTACACTGTTGAGAGGTAAATCAAGCACAAATATAAAATTTTGTAAATAACATTGGCAATAAGATAAAT